TTCCCAAGTTGCAAGCATTCCTTGGTGCATGAGTTTCTGAAATTAAGTTTATTTTGTAAACAGAACAATGGTTTCATAGTGATAGGTGATCTATGGACAATACCTAACAGACTAAGAAAGCATCGGATGAATTTGTCACAATAATAGTTAGATAAAGTTACATTACTTAGAGTATACCATGTTATCTAACAATACCTCACTTATTCTTAAATTCTGTGTCTAAAACCCCAAACAGTAAAACCTGTAGTGTGTGAAGTGGGGCTGGATTCTACTCCCCACAGCCCCAGCACCCTGATTTCATATCCGAATGTCAGAAAATCAGCGCTTACCTGAGTTCAAGGATATTTACTTCCTGGTTGCTGCCATGTGACTGGGGAAGACAGGTTGAGAGGCGGGAGGGGAATAATGGGTGCAGAAGGCATGAGGGACAGCTACCCTGCCTCCCCAAGCTGCCTGAGCCCGAGGAGCTTGTAATGGCTTTGTGAGACACCGCATAGGAATCCTGGATGGATGTCCCTGCTGCCCTAACAGAGGAAAAAGTCCCAATCCTGCCACATAACAACTACAGTGTGATATGAAATGAATACTAACAGCACTTCTTGCATACATTCACACTTGAAGGAAATGCTAGATTTCAGTTAGAGGTCAGAGAAAATAAAAATGATAAATTGATTTTTTTTTCAGTTCAAGCTCACAGACTGCCTGAAATCTTTCCACGTACCCCCCAAGGGGCCTGTAGATTCCTGGTTAAGATTCCCTTGTTTAGGTGATACCCGTATCAAAAGTTGCAGTATCTCAGGTGGACCTTAAAGATCATGACACTTTCAACTAATGCCTTCTTCTCTTTTTTGTAGCTGCTTATATTAATGAACCTAATATTTATTATGATATGGAATAATCAATTTTTGGAAGGCACTGAACTTCAATAATTGAAGTACTGCTCCCGATGTTACATTTAAATTTTCAGCACACTTCTGTTTTGTGTTTAAATATAATTTTTATTCATATCATGTCCACTGAAAATTTCTTCTTTCTGGACTTATCATGTGTTTTAATTAAAGCATCAGAATGCTGACATGTGTTGAATTGCAAAAGACTGGACCTTGATTTTGTAGTTTTAAAAACATCCCTATAACACTGGAAAAGAAAACCAAGCAGTGTGAGGGGTACAGAATCCATTCCCAAAGGAGACCAAAACAACAACAACACAAGTAGGTGGAATTTCTTATCAGTTAGTTCGTTAGTTAGTCGTATCAGTCACCAGCAATATTGACGTTCTCCCCATTCAGCTGATGCCAGGTAAAGTAGTTTGTACTAAGTTATGACCATGGCAATAGTGTCACAATCATGACTAAGAACTTGCCAACATAGGGGGGAAAACATACCCCTAATCCAGAACTGGGAGTCTTCATGGCTCACAAGAACCTCTGGTAACTATTCAGAGCCCTTAACCCAGCTTTCTTCCATGCTAAATAAACTCAGAGGAAACTCTGGACTATCCACAGGCTTTGCAGCCATCTGGACTGCTGAATCAGCTCGTTTCAGCCTGATCCATTGCCCACATAGATATAGCCACCAGCACTGTTCTGCCCCCATGCTCATCTTAACTACTTGGAAAGTGAACTGGTTGTGCAGGGAACAGATCGGAGACTATATAGTTGAATCAAACAGGAAATCATTAACTGACAAGAATTTTAGACTTCCCTCCTGAAACTCACTACAAAGTCTTTATGAAGAGATATAAAGTTTTTGAGAGATAGACACAGTTCTGGCCGAACTGAGGCTCTTGAATCTTTATTTCTTCTTGTCTCTTTCTTGTATGGTGTTCAACTGCCTTGAGAATTGTCTCAATATTTAACTCTGACTGGACTTGAATACAGCTCCAACTGGACTTGAATACAGGTCATACAGTTCCAACTGGACATGCTATTTGTAGACCTTCTGGCCTTCCTCTCTCTTCACAAAAAGGCTGACTCTTCCAAGAACCAGAATTGCCTTGCCTGATCGGATTCTTAAAGGGGCAGGGCAACAGAGGCTTAAAATGCAAAGAGGCTGACCCCCCAGAAACTGTACGTAAAATATTAATCCCCCTAACTAAAAATGGCTTAACTCAGGGTAAACGGCAAGGGCCTTCATGGGACATGGCAATCACCTCTCCCCCAAGCCAATCAGTACATGGAAAGGAATTGGTCATCCCCATGTCATCAGTGCCAGTCCTCACCAGCCACAGGGTTCCCTGCAAGTGTCATGGTGATCATATCTGCAGAGGTTAGAATGGGGAATCCACATAATCAGAAAGAAGGAGGGTGTAGTTCTATCATCTTCTTGCTGGTTGTAAGTGTAGGAAAACTGCATGTAAAATAGAATGGAAACAGCATTGTCAATCTGGAAGATGGAATGTACACAAGCACAAGACATCGCAGTTCAGAATCCCCTTTCATGGGAGATGGAAAAAGATGATGTTAAGATCAGATATTTCATTTTTCAAAAAGCAGTAGACATCACAAAGATATATTTCCTCATATTTATGTATTTGTATCAGTTACAAATGACCTGGATTTTGTAGAAATCCAAATTCTTGTCATTTTTAATGTATGAACTATGTTGTAAGCAATATCAGGAAAAGTGAGAACTGAATAGCAAGCATTGCTACAATTTTATTTGATGTATGTGAATTTTGGATACCAGAATAATTACACATGTAATTTACATGTCTTGTAGAAAAGTTTATTTTTACAGGCCCTGCTTTTTATTAAGCGTCCCAAATCAGTTTATTAGTATTTGAGGGCTGTGTTAATTCTGCATACAGATAAAATATTTTCTGTGTATTTATTCAGATTCCAGAAAATGTATTAATGAACAATGCATCTGGATTAAATGACTTAATGTCAGATTATACTATATCACCAGAATATCTCCTAAATTCATTTGTATTACATACATCAGTCTGCAAAACACTCTGGCCATAGTAAATGGTTTTTAATATTGTATGTTTTTTAAATAGTTTTCCACAAGGTGTTTTTATAAGTCAGTCTACAAATAAGTTGTATCCAATGTGACTGGTGTATTCTGTTGTCAAGATTGTGTTTTAGAAATTACTGCTCAGATGTGACTGCACTTGGTAATATCAGACCTTTCATAATGTCTTAGGTTCATTTATCTGTCTGCAGCTGAAATAACTGGCTCAAAACAGCTATTATGACAAATACTGTAGAATTATAAACCTGCATATAGCAAGATGTTGACAGGATATCATTAGATATACATGGACATGGATATTAAAGGATGCCACAAAAATCCTCAGTACCAATGAAATTAGAGTTTACATTTGGTAGTAATCAAGATCACAGTGGAATTGTGGGGTCGCAATTCATTAATGGATATGTAGAATTCTCTACCAGAGAGCTCTGCTGCCTCACCAAATTGGAAATTCCAGGATTCCCCCACAGCATGCAGTCATGACAATTAAAATAGAATCATATCACTGTAATAGTGTAATGTGAAAAAGCTCAAGATAAATTATAAAGTTTATGACCTGTTTTCAATTACAATGGACTCTCAATTAAGTGGAACTCAAGCAACCAGAACTCTCAAGCAACCTAAAGAAATAATACTGCGTTCACAAAGCTGTAGTTTTTTTTTCATGTCAGGAGCAACCTAAGAAATGGCAAGTTGCTTCTGGTGTGAGAGAATTGGCCATCTGCAAGGACATTGCCCCGTGGACGCCTGGATGTTTTACCATCCTGTGGGAGGCTTCTTTCATGCCCCCGCATGGGAAATTGGAGCTCACAGCCGGGAGCTCACTCTGCTTCCCGAATTCGAACTGCTGACCTTTCAGTCAGCAGTCCTTCCAGCACAAGGGTTTAACCCATTGCACCACTGGGGGCTCCTTTACTATAGTTAAACTGTATTACATTAAGCTAAATTTGTCTATTTATCTTTTGGTTTAAATTTCTGTATTTCAATATGAATATCAAGTAAATATAGAGGTTATTGTATGGTACAGAATTAGGTCTGTTTTTATAGTAACTTTTCAGGCAACCAAAAAATACACTTAGCATCTACTAATCCCTATGGGTGCTGGATAACTGAGAGTTTACAGCACACAGAAATTGATGTTCCTGTGTTTTAAATATTGGGGAATTGTTGCAATTGTCCTCAAAAACTTAAGCATGGAAATATCGCAAGGCAGTGTTTGGAAGGAGACAATATTATTAGATATTGCATATGCAAGACTGGAGCATTGATCAATACAAAACCAAATAAAGAATAATTGACAATAAGCAAATGCATTTTGGCATTCAGTCTTGATCTCCAATCAGGCATGTAATTGAAGAATGTATGCTTTACTGATTCGGAATATTCATATCTAGGCCATGGGAAGGTTGAATTTAGAAATTCTTGTGAAATATCACTGGTTTTTAATAATCCGGAAATAATTAATATTAATATTTAATTGTAGAGGATATCTTGTTCCATCATCATCATCACCACCACTATCATCATCTTTATTTCGACAACTCCTTTCTCTCAATGGGGACTCATGCAACAACACAGCAAATACAAAAATTAAAAACAATTAAAACAATTAAATACCTGTGTCATGGATACAAGTTAAAATACAGTTAAATGCAATTTCTTTTTACTAGATAGAAAAATAACTGTCACCAGTTGTTTTCTAGGAATACATCTGTCAGTAATGATATATTCATTGGCTAGTAGAATGAGAACTTGGCCAGTTTGAGATAATGGTAAATAAAAGCCCATTTTCTTTTATTAATTAAGCTCTTAAGTTCATGTATTAAGTAATACACAAGCTAAACTTTGTAAAATGCTATTCATATACATGCTTGGCATTTTCATGGAAAATTCATGACACTTATACTTGTTTAACTTTGTTATGTGGATTTTTTTTACCAGTAAGAGTTGAAGAGAAGATATAAGGGAATCTTACATGCTTCCTCAATTTAATTATCTTTTCTTTCTTTCTTTTTAAATAGGGCCGAAACAACCTGGGATCCATCTATGTTTGGGCATCAGGAAATGGTGGACGGAGTAAGGATCATTGTTCCTGTGATGGCTATACCAACAGCATCTACACCATCTCCATCAGCAGCACGGCCGAAAGTGGGAGAAAACCTTGGTATCTAGAAGAATGTGCATCTACGCTAGCAACAACTTACAGCAGTGGAGAGTCCTATGACAGGAAAATAGTATGTGGACTTGTCAACACAATTAAAATTTGTTTGTATCTCATCTGGAGGGAAAAGACAAGACAACAGATATAACTTCTTATAGATTAATCCAGGGCACTTCCACAGAGCCTTATAACCCAGAATATCAAGGCAGAAATATCCACAATATCTGCTTTCTACGGGGATATCTGAGATGACACTGCTATATATTCCAGTTCAAACCAGAAAATGTGGGACTTTATTCAATCATGTGGCCCCAGTGGTTTTCAGACTTTGATGGTCCAGATGTTTGGACTTCAGCTCCTCAATTTACTGATTGGCCAAGCTGGTTGGGGCTTCTGAGAGTTGAAGTGCAAAACACCTAGAGGACAAAGTTAATACATGTGAACTGAGAAAGAAATGTTGGTCGCTAGGCAAATTTTAAGATAACAAATTAAAATCTACACATTTAGGGTGAAAAGTATCTCTTTCAACCACTTTGTGAAACCAAAAAAAAATGATTTGCATATTAGAGACAACTGACATCTCATCTTTTTGAACAGAAGAGGAAAGCAGTTTTCTTCTCATTCTTTCTTATTTATCACAGACACAGGTGTTTTCAACATTTTCTTTTTTTATGTTTTCAAAATACTGTCTTTCATGTCTTTGAGTAGTCTGGGATACTAGCCACCTTTCTGAAAATCATTGCTGTTTTCACAAGAATCATTCTGATGTACTACTGCATTCCAGTTATTAGGAATATGCAAAAAAAATGCAAGTTTTGTAAGTCGCAAGAAAATTGGTTAAATCTGTACATCCGAAGCAGTATCTCATATGTGCGCGTGGCCCATGCCAAAAACTTTCAAATTGAAACTTACCCAATACAAAACAGACTCCATCCCAAAGTCAGCTACATTTTCATGGCAAGCACGCAAAACAAAGCTAAAAGGGCTCCCATTCCTTTGTAAATGAATGGCTTCTCCCCATTAGGAGAGGGAAAGGAAGGAGAAAGCAGAGTTCCCTGGGAAGAAGCACAGCTCTCTGGGAAATGTAGTTTGGGAAGGTGAGGAACCAGAGAATTCAAAGGCCCTGCCCTAAACTACATTTTCCAGAATGCACATAATAAGAAAGCCCCAATCAGTATAGGGGAGAGACAGATTTGCCCCTCTGCTGCCAGTAAATTCTGTGATTTTGTTCCTGGGTGATAATTGTCATTTCCTAATTGGTTCTATCATAGAAGTATGGGGAAGGTTTATTAAACTGCAAAAACTTTGTCTTTGTGGGAGGGACATTGTTCTATAGTGTGATTTTTTTCAATTAATATCTCATCATCAAGTCTCAACCAATTCAGCAGTTTGTGCCACACAAACAATGTTTCTGGATTTGAACAACTACTTTCAAAGTATGGACTACACCTTACTTACTTACTTACTTACTTACTTACTTAGGCAATCCCTCGTTGGACGAGTAGGATAGTCTTCCATAATCAGTATTCTTGTGGGTCCGTAGGTGACTGTGGAGCCCTATTCCTGATATGCATCTTCTCCCACAGTGAGGACATTGGTTTTCAGGTGGAAGGCGGTCCCGGACGGGGGCTTGACGTGCCTTCCTCTTGGCATGTTTCTCTTTTCATTCTCCATTCGTGCCTCTTCAAATTCTGCAGCACTGCTGGTCACAGCTGACCTCCAGCTGGAGCGCTCAAGGGCCAGGGCTTCCCAGTTCTCAGTGTCTATGCCGGAGTTTTTAAGGTTGGCTTTGAGCCCATCTTTAAATCTCTTTTCCTGTCCACCAACATTCCGTTTTCCGTTCTTGAGTTCAGAGTAGAGCAACTGCTTTGGGAGACGGTGGTCAGGCATCCGGACAACATGTGGCCAGTCCATCGGAGTTGATGGCAGAGGACCATCACTTCAATGCTGGTGGTCTTTGCTTCTTCCAGCATGCTGACATTTGTCCGCTTGTCTTCCCAAGAGATTTGCAGGATTTCTCAGAGGCAGCACTGGTGGAAATGTTCCAGGAGTTGCATATGACATCTGTTGACAGTCCATGTTTCACAAGCATATAGCAGGATTGGGAGGACAATAGCTTTATAAACAAGCACCTTGGTATCCCTACGGATGTCCCGGTCCTCAAACACTCTCTGCTTCATTCTGGAAAATGCTGCACTTGCAGAGTTCAGGCGGTGTTGTATTTCGGTGTCGATGTTGACTTTGGTGGAGAGGTGGCTGCCAAGGTAGCGGAAATGGTCAACATTTTCTAATGTTACACCATTAAGCTGTATCTCTGGCATTGGAGAGGGGATGGCTGGTGACTGCTGGACCGAGCTTCTCGTTTGCTTCTGCGAAGGTGTTTAGAGTGGCTTGTAGATCTTGTTTGATTAAACCATGTTTAATGGACTACACCATTAAACAGGAAATAACACTTTCAGACTAAGATTATATTTTCTTTATTAATAAAAAATGTTGTTTATAAAAACTTGGAAAATTCCCAAAATCCTACTGATAAGTGACTCATTCTGAAATTAGGTGAGCTAACAGTGGTAAATGTGTTCTACCATTGTAGCAAGTTTCACCCCAATAGCTGTAAAAATGAAAGAGAAAGGAACCCAGAACACCCCCATGCACCATTCTAGTAACGAAAAAGTAATGAAATTTCATTACTCTTGCTATAGTAATAAAATTTTCACTAATGATACTTTAGAAACACTTCATTCTTTTATATTCTATTATTTCAGACATTTATATCCCATCTTTTTCACCTCGGGGGAGGGAGGGCATAGGGCGGCTCACAACCAAACAAACAATAGCAATAAAATCACAATTAAAACATTAGTTAACAACAACAAATTATAAACATTCATTTAGAAATTAAACAAATCCAAATCCAGAGTCATAGAAACAAAGTGCCAGCATGCACCCCCACCCTTTTTTGAAACATCTTGCATGCCTACATTATGTTACTATTCTTACTTACTTTTTTACATGCAATTTTATATCTCTGGATTGTTTCCTTGTCTTCTGGGTAACATGGCAATAATACTAATATAGAGGAAACCCATCATTTGATTTCTAAACAAGTAACATTCCTGTGATGAAATTTCATGGGTCCTTTAGCTCATGGTAAAACTTTTTTCTTCTTATTGAATTCTGTTGTTTTCTCAATACTTGTTTCCTTGAAGTTTTCTTAATTTAGTACACATTGCTTCCTGATAACATCACTTGATAAGGTCTACTGAGACGTAACATTCTAAAGCATAACAAAAACCCTTGCCTTGTGTCATTTGGGTATTTTAAATTGTCTACAATATTAAGTCTAAAGGGAGCATTTGCACTCTAAAGAGGAGGTCCATATTGGCAGTAGACATGTTTAGGTTTTCTCATTAATTCTGAAGAGAGATGCGAATTGCATACCTTTGCATACCTTTTCCTTTTCACCCCCTTATTGATGAAATGAATAAGAATATCTCACATCCAGGAAAATCAAAATTCATCATAGTTTGTAAGTCTGTAGCCTATTCAAATTTATTTATTTCATTTCACACATTTCTACCCCGCCCTTCTCAACCCCCGAGGGGGGACTTATTAGCAGTAATCATAATTTACAAAAATATTATTAGTAACTGTAATTTAAAAAACTGTGGCACAGGAGCACCTAGACCACATCTAAAGTCCAAAATAAATATGAAGCCAAACCTGCACGATTCTGGGTTTTTCTACTGGATGTGAGCCTGATTTCAAACAAACTGAAATCTGATTGATCTGATATTGATATACTATTTTGCCTTCTTCCACTATGTGCCTTACTGAATCTCCTGTTCTAAAAGCTCTCCTGAAGCTAAAGAGACCAGCAGCTTTCAGGATCAGACTTTAAGCCTAAATAATGCTGCAGTTATGAAGAGTAGGCAGATAAAAAATAATTCCAAATTTCTCCTCGCAATAATGATAGGTGTTTTAATATATTGAGGCATTACATTAAAAAAATCAATTGCTGAAAGATTCCTCATATTTTGAGATTTTATTCTTTTTTTAAAAAAAAAACATGATTTTACACAAAATTATTTTAAGATTATTATTTCAACATCTTTATTAATGGCTTACCTGAAGGGTTAGAAGGCAGGAGCATAAAGTTTGCAGACAACACCAAATTGGGAGGGGTAGCTAATACCCCAGAAGACAGGAGCAGAATTCAAAACTATCTTAAGCAATTAAAAAGATGGGCCAAAACTAACAAAATGAAGTTCAACAGGGACAAATGCAAGATCCTCCTTTTAGGCAGAAAAAAATGAAATGCAAAGATACAGAATGGGGGATGCCTGGCTCAACAGCAGTACGTGTAAAAAAGATCTTGGAGTCCTCATGGACAACAAGTTAAACATGAGCCAACAATGTCATGTGGCAGCAAAAAAACCCAATGGGATTTTGGCCTGCATAAATAGGAGTATAGTGTCTAGATCCAGGAAGGTCATGCTATCCATCTATTCTGCCTTGGTCAGACCACCCCTGGAATACTGTCTCCAATTCTGGGCACCACAATTTAAGGGAGATGTTGGCAATCTGGAATCTGTCCAGAGGAGGGTGACTAAAATCATCAAGGGTCTGGAGAAAAGCCCCATGAGGAACAGCTTAAAGAGATGGGCATGTTTAGCCTGTAGAAGAGAAGGCTGACAAGAGTCATGATGGCTATGTATAAAGGGGAACTCATAGGGAGGAGGGAGCATGCTTGTTTTCTGCTCCCCTGGAGACTGGGACATGGAACAATGGCTTCAAACAACAGGAGATTCCATCTGAACATGAGGAAGGACTTCCCGACTGTGGGAGCTGTTCAGCAGTGGAATTGTCTGCCCTGGAAAGTAGTGTAGGCTCTTTTTTTGGAAATGTTTAAACAGAGGCTGGATGGCCATCTGTCAGGGGTGCTTTGAATGCAATTTTACTGTTTCTTGGCAGGGGGCTGGACTGGATGGCCTATGAGGTCTCTTCCAACTCTATGATTCTATGGTTCTGTGATCCTAAGAGCAAACATGTTTGTAAAAATTCCTAAAATAC